TTGTGTGTGTGTGGGGGGGGGGGTTATTATTTTTTTTCTTTTTTTTTAACTGTTGGGGGGTTTCAGGGAAATATCAGGGGTCTAAAAAGACCCCTGACATTTCCCTTTTGAAATAAAGAGATTGAGGACACAGAGTCCTATACAGACGGGGAGAGCAGTGGGGATCCGAGGAGAAGGTGGAGCCTGTGTGGCTCCTCTTCTCCCTGCTGAACCGTGGCTGTGTTGGCCCCGTAGCGCCCCTGTTGCCAATGATGCTCTGTGCTCGCCATGGGAACAGGGGCGCAGCCAGGCCGGTCCTGACTACGCCCCCTCTCAGCTGCACTTGAGCCGAGTGCCTCACTCGCCCCATGGTAGCTACAGCCCTGGGCATTTTTCCCACTGAACCTCAACTAATTGGTTTTTGCAGTGGTTCCCGGAGACCTGAAAATTATGTTAGGGGTTCTTCTCAGTTAAAAAGGTTGAGAAAAAAATGCTGTATAATACACATTATAGTCTCTGCTAAGCAACTATCGCTCTGACAACACATGAATTCAGATGACAAGGTGGTTTTCCCAAACACACAGCTTTGGATGACTGGCATGCCTCTTTTTTCCCCTCTATCATGAAGAAAGACATGTATTTTATGTATACCAAGTCATCTCATCATCTGCAGAGATGCTCATCCAGGCGTTCTATGGATGACATGTTAAGTATGGACCACTGTGCTTGTTGAGGACAGAATGGCTTTTAAATGGCTCAGCAAGGTTATCTATTCATAAGTCTGAGGAAGTCAATGTCAACACAGAGCAGTTACAGGGTTTACTGTTAAAAGTAAATGCATCTTATTTAAATGTGCCATGTATTGCATTTTTCCTGTAAATATTTTTAAAAATAAACGGTTCTCTAAAATGAACCTTGCTGCTGAAAAGACACATATATTTAACATATTTGGAAATGTAAATTTATACATATTTTTTTGGCTAATATAGAAAACAATGCAAGGCAAGACCACAGTGCACTATAATGGCCAAGCATGCATAAACTGAAAAAACATTTTCATTTAAGTGTAAAAGTTAAATAATTTTTCGCCACTGCAGCACATAAAAGTATTCACATATATGTGCTGTGGTGCGTTGAAAAGGTCAGGTGCATCGTTTACCATTGATGGGCATTGGGATTCCATTGACAAAGTTGATGCCCCCAAAACCCATGTGCAAGGTGTATGGTCAACATGGCAACTATGTATAGAAGAATAAGCCAACAGCACAGCAGAGGTCCACCTTAAGATCCCGTCTTTATTTGATGTCAGATAAACATGGCATCACATACAAATACAATGTTTGGGAACTTTATGTGGTCCCCTTAGCAGGCAAAGATAGCGTGACATCACACTCTTTGCCTGATGAAGGGATCACATAAGGTTCCAAAACATTGTATTTGGATGTGATGCCATGTTTATCCGACATCAAATAAAGATGGGATGATAAGATGGACCTCTAGTGTGCTGGTGGCTTATTCTTCTATGGGTTGAAGTCCACGTTGCCATCTGCAGGGCATTACAGCACCCACCAAAGTATTTTAATTGGGATTACAGTCTGGAGTGCAATGGGACATTCTTATAAACATGGCAGAAATTATGCATTGGCATAGACCTCACCTAAGGAAAATTTCTCACAAGCCTAACGCAGCAGTCAGTCAAAAATTCTTCCAAGGCAGTCACCTCACTGGCAGTGATGTTGACCAGATGCCTCACTGTTGTGAATTACCACGCACCCGCTTAGTGAGAAAATGGCTGTCCTCATTAGAAGAGTATTTAGCTTAATGACAGCATCCCTTAAACATTTTAACACTAAACTGATTATTTAGTCTTGATTACATGCTTTAAAAAACAGATTTATCCACCAACTTCTTACATCTTTTAGAGTACCAAGACCGCTGCACCTAAGATTTGACACTCATTCTACAACCCTGAGATGAACCGAGACTCCACTAGAGGGTGATAGACTAGATACCTTTTCAGGGCCCGTTCACCACCCTGCTTCATTCTGAAAGATGACTGGAAGTCATCAGGTGGTTCAATCTACCAGCATCCATCCATAGTTTAAATATCAACAAGCCTCTATATGAACCAAGTCCAAACATTACATGAAAAAAAAATGTTTCAAAATTATATTAAACATAAGTACAGAACTCTTTACTTAAAAGTTGCTTAGTTCCTCTGCTATTTTTCAACATGTCTCTTAAATAGCATTGAACCAAGTTCACTTCAATCATTTTCCTCCAACTACAGTAATGCATTAGGTCTTACTACACCCTTGCTGTTAGGAAATTAAAAATCCAGTGCAATTCTTCTACTTTAGAAAAAATAAAAAAATAAAATCATTTGCAAGGAAGGCAGCCTTTTATTTCAGTAATGGAAGAATGAAGTAAATAATATCCACACTGCGTTCCAGTTTGTGGTTATGCATATGAAGGAAGTCTGCTCCTCTTATAGGAACACACTTAATCTTTACCGAAAATTCTTCTTTAATTTACTCTAAATTAAATTAAGAATGATTTGAATTAACTTCTCAAGGTTATCTATCTCAATATCACAGCTTTACCACCCGGCATCACATGAATATTAAAGATATTTTTCACATTGATATGTTAAAGGAAAGGAAAAAAGCTTTTTTCTATTTCTGGGGTGTGGAAACAGTTAACAGTGTCACGAACCTTGGGCGAAAACCCTTACCCTCCATACACCGATTTCCCTGAGGGTGAAGTCTAAAAGATAAAGCTGGCATTCCACCTGGGACCCCCTGATGGGAGTTTGGAAGTTGCTGCAAACTACCCGCAGGTCACCCAATGACAATCACAGATGTGGAAGAGGAAAGAGATGGCTGCCCAAAGACTAGTATTTAGAAACCAAGGTAGAGCTCGAAGTTAGAAGCATGGGTGGCAAAGTTGCACTGGAAGTGGGCTGTATTGGTAACTGGACTGGCATAGGGTGTACAGGTGGCAGGACTGATAGAAGGATATACTGATAGTTGGTGGTACTGGTAAAAGGACTGTACCAGAGGCAGACTGGTACTAGTAGCAGACTGGCTGATAACAGATCTGTACTGGGAGCAGGCTGGCTTTAACTGGTAGCAGGCTAATTGGTACCTGCAGTAGGTACTTGTACTAGGGTAGCAGAACCATATTTGTGGCAGGCTGACAGGTACTGGTAGCAGGCTGGCTGTTAGGTCTGAACTGGTAGCAGGTTGACTGGTAGCAGATCTCTAAATGGGCTGACTGGCACTGGTACTGGTAGGAGGTTGGCTGGTTTAGGGAGCTTAGATAGCACTGCTAGGACTAACTCAGTGCTTGGTGACCGCTGGTCCTGCTCAAGTTAAATTGGACATCTGGTAGGCCTGAATCATGTAATTAGGCTGTGATACTCCTGACAAAACTCAAAGTTTACTGACAACCTTTAGTGCTCACTGCTGTGACGGACAAGTAGTTTAATACGGTCATTGACAATGCTGAAATAAAGTATGACAGTGGAATATTCATGTGAGTGGTATGCACCTGAGATAGTGAACAAGCATGCACATGATAGATAACCACAGAGAAGGCAAACCAAGTGATGCACTGCACAAACTACAACTTCAGCAGTTATGATCTTTAGAAACCTGCTAATATCGATTTAGTCATCTGGCTAAACAAACTAGAAAAGTTGCTACATATCAGACTTCAAAAAACAACATGCAGCAGGTTAATAGTAACTGTTCTGTTATTTAGACATAACATGTTTGTTTTTTTGGCTATCATGAAAGTTGGTTAGTTTCAAGTAGGGAGTATAGTAAATAGTAATTTGGCAATTCAAACACATAACTGTACTAGAACAATACCAACAAAGCTTCAGCTAGCTTTCTTTACTCTAATGTTATTAGGAGGAAAGGAAAGGCCAAACCAGAAAGAGTACTTTGCTGCAGTACAGGCTACCTGCAGAAAACTATAGGAGGCGAATACAAGAGCATTCACCCTACACAAGGAGAGAAAACAGCATTGACCAGTCATGAATATAGGAAACTCCTGCATAGAGGCAAAGTGTAGGAGTTGTTTCATGCTGAAAACTGGGAGAAATAGAATACCATCATTCAAATAAGAATACACATGGATGGGGGCGTGGCTTGGCAATGGTTCACTGTCCGAGACATCTTTAATCTGTACCTAGACAACCCCCCGGGCACACCCATAGAGATTGACAGGGCACACAGATCCTTGGGCCCTAGACCATAGGACCCGAATCGGCCAAGAGACGTGATATGCAGAATTCACTTTTTCGCTGTCAAAGACAACACCATGCAATGTGCGTGGCGTAAAGGGACGTTGGATTTTGATGGGGCGACTATCCAACTTTTCCCGGACCTCTCCAGACGTACCCTTCTCATGCGGCGTCTAGACGCCGTGAGACGCTCAGGAGCCACCTATCGGTGGGGCTTCCCGTTTCACCTACTGGTTAAGAAACAGGATCTGACGTTCACACTAAAGACCCCTGCGGATCTACCTGCCATGTTTGCCTTTCTGGACACTGAGCGGATCGCAATACTCCTGAGTATAATCTGCTGGAAGACGAGATAGTTACCTGACGAATGGCTGTCGTATAAGCTCCAAACGAAGACATTACAACCACAGAATATGCTGCTGCAATGTTTATGTATCACACTGTTTATCACCGGTCTTACCTGTATTACATATATCTGTTCTTCTCTTTTGTTTGGAAAAGACGGAAAACTTTTGAAAACTTTGAAATAAAGAATTTATAAAAAAAGAATATACATGGATCTTGTATTTAGGCAATATTTGTTAAGTACGTATATCAGCTTTAGGGACAACATACAAGGCAACAATGAACACCGGTACCATCTACAAGGCCCAGTAAATGGATAAGTATTAAAAATCTACAGCAAGCCCATATAATTAATCTTCTAAATATTTGTACAAGATAATGGTTTATAGTACCAACAGTCCTTTCTCACTTATTTTATACTTACTGTTATTGTCTGGTAAAAACATTGAAAATATGCAGGCAATTCCAGCAAATATTAGAAAGCCAGCTGTAGATTTTCCTCGTCCAGACCTGAAAAATAAAGTCAGTTCAAACAATTATGGCAACCTATTAAATCAAATCAATGAGATATTACATTGTTTTTGGTTGCTGTTGGTTATACTTTTCAAACTGCTCCTTGCCTTATGGAATAAGCCCACTTGTACTAACCCTGTGACCATAGGTGTGCTAGGTGTGCTGTGTGTGCCTGGGCACACCCTAATCACCCAAGCACAACAACACTGAAACCATAACAGCGGGTGCCATGTTTTTAGTTACTGAGCCGGTGGAGAGATCACAAAGTTCACTTACAGCTTACCTATGCCAGTGGCTAAAGATCTATTTAAATGAATTTCCTCCAGCAACCTGCTTCAATGTCTGTTTATTCTGCAGCTTAATGTGATAATTTTACCAAAAGTACATGGGGGGAGGAGATCACCAAGGGAACTCTACATGTGGGTATGAATTATTTTTATTACCATGCTGCTTTATCACCTATAAAGCCACTCCCTTTTTACAGGGTGTACCAGGGTGCAGTTAAAAAAAAAAAAAAAGCTTAGACAAAGCATTTACACAGCTCTCATCGGCTATCTTACACCCTTCAGTTTCAGGATGATGAACACAAATAATGGGAGCACTGGCTGCCACTTTTAACAAGCTACTAGCTAGCTTCATCCCACTTTCAACAAGTTTCAAGTAGTGCTGAAGTTTACAAAAAAAAATGCTGAATCCTTCAGGAAAACTTTAAATTGAAGTCAGCACACCCATTCAGATCAATGTATAACATTACCAAAATGAAGCTAAAAGTTGGTATAGATGCTTCAAAACTTGAGAAGTTTAACCAAAGCCTGCATGGTCGCCATGCAATCCTGCCCAATCCACCTTCACAATGCCCAGCAAATGTGACTGGTGGGCTCAGTAATTGTTTGGAAGAATGTCACCAGCACACCAAAAATCCTTTCAGGATCACCAAGTGTTAATTTATTAAGAATCATGTCAAATAAAGACAAGCGCTATCGGGGCCGCAGGGTCCCTTCATCAGGCATAACATTGGGAGCCTTTTAAGCCTAAAGAAGGGACCAAGCGCTTGTCTTGGTGTGCTGGTGACATTCTTCCAAACAATTCATTTGGTCAGCGGTGCCATCCGCAGTCACTATGAGCACCCTCCCCTGCTGCTGGGATATTCGGTAAGAAGTACAACAAGACCTTCATTCATCCTGGTGGGCTCAGTAGCCAACAGAAAGTGGAAGATTCTATGCATCCATATAAGCTCTATTCACAATTTCTCTTTAGGAGCACACTAGGATTTTAAACAATGTAAAACACCTAAAAGTGTCTGAACTTCACTCTAGGCACCAAAAACTTGCCAAACTATCTAACCTAACCTTTAAAGCTGAACTCCAGCTTTAAAAATGTATACTATATATACTAACATTGGTCCAGCTTGGCATAAAATAAGCATATTTAAATGATCCATGGCAGGGCCATGGGGATCATGTAATTTTGAGGTGTCCTCTGATTGGATGAGGGATGGTGCAGAGAGAAAAAATAATAGGCATCCTCAGAATGGCAACTATCCTCAGGAAGCGACCCGCTGTGTTTTACCAGAACTGGGGGAGCAGCTCTGCACAGCGGCTGTTCCTATACCCAGAAGAGGCCAGCTGTGGCTACTACAGTGTATTATTTGATTCCTGTGGCCCTGCCAGGGATCATTTGTATATACCAGAATTGTGGCAACATTTAAGCTGTGTATGCTAACTTAGAGGTCTATGCCTACCTGATTAGTGGGCGTAGTGAGTGATAAAGCAAACAATCCTAAACCAAGATCTAACAGTGTGGAAAGATAATGAATACAAATTTTGATCATGAGTTAAAAATGACCGGTCTAAATATGTGAATGACTTGGAGAAGATTCACTGAGTACAAAATGAGCAAGACTAATTTGATCTACAAATGCAGAAAGAATAACTTCCTATGAAATATTGCTTTATATGAGACTGTATGTTTGCACATTAAATAGAATGTATGCTTCGATCAGCAGAGGCTAAGAGCAGTTCTAAACAAAATGACTCAGAAAGCCATGTCCTTCCATACTCACCAAGACTTTTCAATAAAAAACAGGCAGAGGGGGAATGCTGGAACTTCCACAAGGCCAGACAATGCCACATTCAAATAGAGATTGCCTTTTAGATCCCCAGCATTTAAGGTCAAGCCATAATACACCAGACTGCAGACGTACCTAGAAAGAAAACACATCATCATTGCTGTTGAAAGGTTTACAGATTTCAAGGGCTGCTTTCATGAAAGCCAATTTATCAGGCAGGCGCTCAGACAATGAAGAATGGCTAGGGTGAGAAGAATACTCTTTCCTCCTCTGTTACCTGGGAAGTTCCTGATCTATTAGCAGTATGTTCCCCCAACACCACAGAGGCAAAAGAAATTTCATTTTAAAAACACATTATATAGCAAGTGATTCTTAAGATACACACAAACATGTACATTGGATAATTTTGAAATCATACATTCAACAAATAGAAAAATATTTAGATACAGAAGGATCAGTGACATGAACATGTATTGTAACTCTAGGTGTTCCCAGCCTGGCTTAAAAACTTACATTAAACTCAGCAATTCAATCTTAAAAATGCATTCAAGTACCCAATTAACAAAATTGTATCTTATTTGTCTATCACACGGCTGCAGATGCTCAAATCATCTCTGAATTGGTGCCGACACTGTCCTTCTTTCTGGAGGGTGGCTACCTTTTTTCTCCATGGTCCCTGTGTGTGTGTTGTAAAGTAGCCAACGCTCCAAGCTCACTTTGTAATAGAATATAATTTCAATATAAATTAGTAACCTAAAGATGAGATTGTAGTCCATCGCAGGAGAGAGCGCAATACAGGAGGGTTTAGAGGGTCCTGCTCGTGAGAGCTTACAATCATAGGCATATCAAATTGTTACATGTCATTTTGTAATTTATTTTTAAAATGTTAGTTTCCAACTGCAAAACATTCAATGCAATATAGCAACCTTGAGGAATTCTCTACATGTTTGGTGCATAGGATGCCCCTAGAATTGTTGTTTCCTGCTTCTACAATTGGCTCAGTGAGAGCACTAAGCACTAAGATACCAGCAAAATGTTGGGTATCCCCTGCAACAGCAATTTTATTTTTGGTGAGGCATAACTAGCAAAGAGATGCAGTCAGTGCAACTTTACTCATTAGAACACTGAGAGTGAACCAGGTGGTTATAATGATAGCAGACCTTCCCATTCAGGATTCAGTCTGGAAGGGAGATAGTGAAAGAAACTGTAATTTCAGAATTTCTTTAGAAAGAGGTAGGAATCGGCTACACCGTTTGTTAAAATTCTTGCAATGGACACAGATCTCACACAGAGGATTGCTTTTTTTTTTCCAAAAAAGTAGCATTACACTTGAAATGTTTTTCTGCACAGTTTTAAAAAAGTTAAACACAAAAATTATTCCTGACATTTACATTTCTTTCTGTGCTTGCTGGTACCCTTGTTCATTTTTAAAATTGATCTCCATGTCCCTGTGGAGCCCCTTTATCCTTGGTCTAGGATGCACAGTTTTCATCCAAGATTAAACATTTTCTAATTGGATTCAAGTGGATAAAATGCATAGATTCTGGGTGAAAGTAGTATGAATCTTGTGTGAAAATCTTTATAGATAAAGTCTTAACGTCTATGTAAAACCCTCATTCTACAAGGGTACTCCTGCACTGCAAGGATTAACTACTAGACTAGTCCCCATAGCCTCTTCTCTCCAGGCTCCGGCGGTCTAAAGACACATGACTCATCACATCTAATACTATCCATTAACCTGTATTAGATGTGAGGACGCGGAGGAGCAGAGGGGGGAGAGAGGTGATTGGTCACTGCTGCAGGACCGAGGATTGGGTATTTCCACCTGGAGAAAAACAAGCAGTTAACCCTTGCAGTGCAGGGGTAGCCCTACTACAAAAGGTAATTTTTTCTAAAATCTGGAGTTCTTCTTTGAAGCTAGTGAGAGACTGCATCACATAGGTTATTTATTTATTTTGCCCATACACTTAAACTCTTCAATTCCTTGAGCCATTGAGTACATCGTAGTAAGCTGACTGCAAGTGTTTTGACTACAGTTAATCTTTCATTACCATAACAAATGCACGGATAAATAAAAATAACCTCTGTAAGTGAATCACTGTCATTGCACTTGGATAACGCCAACAGACATGGAAATTATTGCTATTCCTTCAAGACATTCTGGAGATTTTTCCTCTGATGCCACAGCAATACAAAGACTATTGTGAGAGTCAGCAACTTTCCTGTACAGACAGAAAGAGAATGGATGATTGGGCTGCTTAGCTCACACTTTGCAGCAGTCAAGGAGTGGAGCAGTTATTATGGGACCAATGAGAACTTCATTATTATTATTGTTATTACAATAGTATATTTCCCCTTCACCGATTTTAAGCACATCTTGTATGGGACTTTGTGATTTTTATTGTTCTATCTACTTAAAACATAAGCCCTTAGGGCCCGATCACAAAAGATGTGTTGGGCTGCACTGGGCAGCCTCGCCCAAATCAGTCCCAATGTATAGACAAGGCAATCTGCCTTGTCTCCTAGGGTCTCAATCCACACCACTGCACTGTGTTGGTGAACACTGAAAAGAGCACAACATGCATACTTTTTTTCAGTGCGGTTTGTTGCAACTCGCTGTGGTGAATAGAATTGAATGCAATATCACTTTGTGACATTTTAATAAAGTTTTTTTTTCAAAAAAGAAAAAGTAAACAGTGGGATGCACTGTAATCAGCGCATTACACCGCATCCATCACTGAGCACCAGAACCAAGACCAAGCTGCTGATGTGAACGGACAACTAGGAAACGTTTAGATCTTTCAAAAGTTCTGTGGTCCAACTTTTCAGGGCACATTATTTTTTTACCATATCTTATTTACAAATACATGTAACATTTTCTTCTGGCATAGTCCCAGGGGCTGCAGAAAGTTTCCCCTTCCACCTCTTGAAATCTAAAGCCTGTATGGCAATTTTCTGCTCTGACAAAATTATTAAAAATGCATCCAATTTGCTTTTGTTACTTGAACGCCCTCCTTCAGAGATCACATTATATGTGGAATAAGAATTGTTCACAAGTTATTATGATTAAAGGATTACCAGCTCCGGGCTAAAAGCAAAGATGTAAAACGCATCTTAAATATAAAGACAACTCTTCAGAGATAAATCTTGCCGCTCTAAATTATACAACTTGACGATTTACAAGAAGCTGCACATACTTCGTGTACTTTTCTTTTGCAAAGTAATTGCCATCATAATGAGTACTTTGATGAAGAGCCATTTGAAAGAAAATGTTGGTGACAGCTCAGATGGAGGCTTCCATTCGGCAGCACTCCGTGTCATTGTCCCCGCTGCCCTAATATGCCAACATGCCGATCTGCCACATTTGATCCACGAATGGCAACTCAAACCCGGTTTACTCTGAATTCCCAAAACTCCATGGCACACACTTAAAAACAATGTAAATTACAAGTAAAAGCACATTTCACTGGAAACGTCTTATTTAAGTAGGAAAACAAAATTCCAAAATTGTTAAATATCCTCTTATTATTTACTAGACATTTTGAGTTTTAGGTCACCGAAGACTTGTTAGGCTGCTCAAATCGCCAGTGTTGGTAAAAGCTTCTTAATTCATAACCATACCACCTTATGTTATTTGTTGTCTGCCCATGCAGTGTCTACTCTCGCTCAGTTGAATTATTTTAAACTGTTAGGACTGCACAGTGACAGGCTTATCAGATAGTTTAACACAAAAGAGACAGGTAAGATGATAGAATATATTGAAAGCCGCACCATGAAAGAGGTTGCCAAGGCAGATTTTGGAAGGAAGCCAGTAAAATTTAGGACAAAGATGTAATACAAATAATCCGATAATGCCTAAATGTCTTACTTTAAAAATGGATGTTCAAGGAAAATCCTTTGACTATTTGTGACCCATCCCTGCAGTATATATATATATTTTTTGTGCGATTTTGGTAATTGAGGTCTAGCATGTAGTGCAACGTAAATTCAAAGGAATGTGTGGGTAATATACCTTTCTGTGTTACTGTCCAAAGGTGTCACAAACAGAGACATTAGTTAAAATAGGAGTAAAAACCATCTAAAAAAAAAAAAAAAAAAAGAAGAAGGAAATGCTCAATAGACTCCTTCCTATCCACTGCCAGCCAGCCATGCCGCAAAGTTACCAAACCCCCCAACACACCGAGTTTCTCATTTCTAGTCATAGACCTTGTAAACACAGGCTGCAGCTCATATAAGAGCAGAACAGTTGTGCTTATAAATTTACATAGATCTTTAAACACAATTTACAGAAATGGACAAAATTTGTGATGTTGACCATTTTAGAAGAAAACACAAAACCAAACACATTTCTTTTTATCTTTAATGCAATTAAAATTCAACCAATAGGCATCACCATTGCAGCGGAACTAAACTCACCTTTTCTCACCCCGTTAAGCAGTACTTACACCTTCACCCAGCCTTTTTCCAGGTCTGGGATTTTTGTCCATCTTGATAAGCCAGCCCAGAAGGATGGAAATTCCCCATATGTGCAGCGTATCCTGAGCAAGCACAGCTTTGTGTACATTCTAAAGAAGATTGCTAACAGGCAGCTAATGTTGTTTTAATGCACAAGAGACACAGTATGTCTCATCTGCAAATAGAGTCTGTCAGGTTGCAATTTTTTAGTTTTTAACTTCAGTTCCACTTTAAACAAATCATAGCAATTGTGGGAAAAGGCCCTTTATTTTCTCATGAGGTAAAACTGTCCATTCTTCCTGAAAAAAAGTCTCCAGGTCCTGTAAATGTTTTGGTTGTCTAGTATGTTTGAGACCTCCCCTAAGTGACTCAAGGATGTTGAGGTCACTTTTTTCTGCTAAAACCACTGAAGAGTTGACTTGGCCACTTGTTTTGGATCATTATAATAAAACGGGCACCCCATGTAAAGGTTTTAGGCTGAAGAAAGTTTTGCTACAGTATTCCTAAAGTATTTTCCGATAATGTGCTGCATTCATCTTGCCATTATTTTTGACTAAATTCTCTGTAGCTCACAAACCTCCAAAACAGCAGAGATCCGCCTCCATACTCCATTAGTGCCTCATGGCATGCCTCTGTTCATAGGCCTTGTCCACTCTTCAAATATAGTGTTCAAGGTTGTG